AAACTAGCCAGCTGGTACCCATATTAATTCATTTGCCCAGATGATCGGAGACTGCAATTTGAAGAAATATGGTCGTCCATGCCCCAGCATACCGCTAGTTGAATCGAAGCTAGCCTGTTGGGGCTAGCTAGACTTAGTGGCCCATCCACGGTCCCATCCACTATGCGCCATTCGTCTCAAGCATCGGAACCGAGTCGGTGGTGGGTGGGACAAGCGGGGTCATGGGATTCACATGGCCAACCTACCTGCATGGATGAGTTCTGGGCAACCCAAATGCCATCGCCCACGAATCATCATGCGATCGATCGATTCCAGGTCCCCCCCACCCAATGTCTGACCCAGATGCACGCTTCTTCTTCAGGTCACGCATCATCTTGTAGTGCGGGATACCAGCTTGCTTGCACGGCTGCTCCACCCGGATCTGTGAACCAAGTCGGTGTCGACTATATCAGCTTATATAGGGCAGAGTTAGGCAGTTTTAGTAGTCCATATCAACATGTTAAACCAGTCTCCCGGGTTCGAAGGGCGCGATGGGTGATGGGTGTCGATGGGCCATGAAGGGCAAAGCACCGTGAAGGGAGTACTGGGCAATACCTGCTGTACGGTAAAATCCACTCCCCCCATCCCATGCATGAGTCAACCAAGCCCGAAGAACTTCCACCACGGCGTCAGGGGGCTTCGAGTCCGGCATGGCGCAAAACCGATCGATGGGAATCGACGCTTATATAGGCTAGTTATATAGCGCCGATATCGATTGCACGTTAATGTTGGGCATTCGATCTGGACCTTGCAATATTGGCCTTGTGCATGGTCATGCATGGTCCACCTGCGGCATGAACCTCCTAGCCTATTGGTCATTGAAATTGCGCACGCATGGTTCTTCATGTCGCTTCATGCCATCCTGTTCATGACATGCCTAAGCCAGGTCATGACATATATCATGGTTGACGTCATGTTCGATTCAGTGACCCCCGCTAACTGTGCCAGAAGGCACCATGCATCATCCTCATCATCCAAGGCCACGCGGGTCTCATAGACTCCTTGTTCAGCGGTGTTGGTGGCGCATGGCCCACCCCTCTGGTTTCAAAAAGGTGTGGCTTCGAACCGCACGCTTCATCTCCCATCGCTCCGGCGTGGACAACGACCATGGTGAAGGAAAGGGAATCCATGTGGATGTACGCTAGTCGCTTTTAGATGCTATGTTAATGTCCCGATCCTGTGCCCCTAGATGTTGCAAATTTGCTGGTTGGTTTCCTGCTGAGTACTCTAGTCTTTGCAACTTGGAGGGAACTGTCTAGCAAGATCTCTTTCGGGCATGGTATCACGCAAGTACTTTTTCAGGTGCATATATATTGATCATACCTGTATGGATCCTGTGCCACACACACGCCCGCCTCACTGTGGCAGCAGCCCGCCTTTCTGGAGCAGAGCGCAGACTGGGGCGGCAGCGAAGTCTGGTCCATTAAATGGGAGAACTGGGTCTGTCTTTGTGCAGATGTTTGGCCGCATTGGGCGCGCGGATTTGACAGTTGGCTTGGCATCTTGTCAAGACTGCTCGGGTCATGGTGCCGAGCACCGTTTGCCCCCCCTGCTGCAAGCCGTGGTCGGCAATGAGAAAGAGGGCCAGGCCAGTCGCACACCGTTTTGTTTTTAGTTTTGCAGGTCGCTTTGCGATGTTCGCTGCGTGCGTTAGTTGTTCCGATTTTTCGTAAACGAACCGATTTAGCTCTGCGTTGCGTTGCAACCCCCGCCTTATCAATGGTCGGGTTTTGGTCGCATCCGCTCCATGGTTCCAACCGCCCGACAAGCGCGATCATAAAAGAAGAGGGCATGGACGTCCCTGGTTTCCTCATGCAGGTGATTTGTGGTCAAATCTCATCGGGCTGTTCGCGTTTATAAAGGTGTGTCCCTCTTCCGCACTCCTTGCCTTCTATGAGGCCTTGCTTTGTTAGCCGGTGGACCTTTGCGTTTGCGCTTTGGTTTGCTTGGGAGGCCAGGCTGAAAAAGAAGCGCCATCGGCCAAGGCAAGATCATGACGAGGGCCATGCATATATTTGTTTATACTCTTTTCACGTTTTACAGAGTCTTTTCACAACCAGCAAGTCCAACATGGCTACACCCTTAGTTGTTCCAGGGAGCTCGCTAAAGTGCGTGGCATCTCTGAAACACAGAAGCGTCATCCCAGGACCTTGCAAACACGTGGCTGCCCGAATCCTTGTGCTGGCATCAACTTGGTGGGCTGAATTTGCTGCAGCCTTGACGTGGCCAGGTGATTCCTGCTCCTTTGCGCCGTGTCGGGCCGGGGGCCTTCAGCAATGGAAAGGCGAATGTTGCACGGCAATTTGGGTAACCCATCCTCCAGCCACACCCCACCTGCCATCATCGGATTTGGGCCAGGCACTGCTCGCGCGGCGTAAACCTCGTGGCGAAAATAGTCAAGACCTGACTGATATATCGCTGATGTACTGATGCCCTATCCTGGTGACTTGTTGAATCCAGCCCAAAGCTCGTTGTTCTATCTTCTTAAAGCGACGGTTTTTAGGATTGAAATGCAAATCTGCAAATCGGAGATTTTGTCAGGTTTTGAAGCAGGCCTGGCGCAGCAAGAGCACCTTATTGGTATTTAACAATTTGCCAGTCTTGCTCACTTCACAGCTGCGTTTTTGGTGACATTTGAACATTTGTGCGCTTCAAAACTGGGCTCTGTAGAAATCACCCACCTTGGGCACATGTATACTGCGCACCGCTGAGGAAGATGGCGCAATCGGATTTCCTTACAAACTGTTGTTTTCTTTTACAAAGGTGGTTGGGAGAACGAAGGTTGCGAGGGTCTGTACAAAACACAAAAACATCATAAATCCGCAGTCTAAAGAAGAACAAATTGCAACAACGAAGAAGGACAAAGAGTCACAGTGTGTCCAGATCTGACATATGAGCATGAAGTTCACAAACCACCACCACCACCACCACCATCATCACCATCAGCATCACCATCACCACCACAACTCAAACATCACCGCTCCACCATCACCGCCACCACCACCGCCACCGCCACCACCACCACCATCAGCATCACCACCACCAGCAGCAGCAGCAGTAGCAGCAGCGGCGCCACGTCATCACTATCACCATCATCGCCCCCATCACCCCCATCATCCCCACCACCACCACCACCATCACCACCTTCATCACCACCACCACCACCATCACCACCACCACCTGAATCACCAGCACCATCACCACGGCCACCGTCCCATCACCTCTCTTTGGGAGCCCAATACCCTATAGATGTTCTCACCTTCTGCTTCTACGCCTCTAAACCTTACACCTCCCTCTCAGGAACACGCTGGCCCCGCTCCGCTCACGCTCTCGTTCATCGTCCTGTAGGGGGTCGGCAGATGTTGTTATTTTTCGGTGGTGTGTAGGCATGACACGTCACATGTCCATCATGGAGAGTTGATTCTGTTGCACACCTTTTGCTTGTCAATGATGCATGCAGTTTGCGCGAAAGGTCAGCAGGTAATGAGTAGGGCGCGCTTGCCGGTAAGTTCCTTAAATTCAGGCCATCTCAATGGTTAGCGTGAACCATCACTGAGAGAGGGATCCAAATCATTCTTGCTTGTAGCCACCAAACACCGGGTTTGGAATGAATATGGTTGTTTGTCAAGAACCCTCGATCGTTTATTTGATTAGGCTGCTCCGATCATGCAGATTGGGAACCCCCAAAAAAACATGTATTTAAATGTGATCATAAAGACTGCTATTTTGGGATTTCAACAGATCAACTTTAGGCTTGAAAAGGAACCCGCCTAAAGCGCGCAGTGCGAGAAAACGCGCTTGCCAATGTCTGCGATCAATGAAAAGCTGAGCCAGCAAGGGAAAAATCGGCGGACTGACCATGTAAGCTTGCATGAAAACAACGCATCCAACCTGCACCAGTGCCTCCAAGGGGTGTTTAAACATTGTTTTAGGTTAAAACATGTCCATCAACCATCCCTTGTGGGCCCTGGTATAGGCAAGCATACTTGGCAGTCACCGGTTGCTTCGCTGGGTTGGCAAACCGGCCATTTTGGTGACGTGGCATCCAGAGGTTCCCACCACTTGTATTGTTCGGAGGAAGACCTGGTGCTAGCGACATCGTCCCATGGTTTAGTCCTTGGTTTGTGTTCAACATCCCTACAACAGGCATGTTGATAATAAAAAAATGTGTGAATTTGTAGTGAAGATCCGAATTCCGTGATTGCTGCACGATACTGTAAATGTGTGTTCAGAACACGGGGTCGCAAGGGACGATCTCTTGGTTGTGTTGAGGAAGGCAAGATTTGTGAAACATTTGGGAACAGAAATGCATATCAGGTTTGTAGGTGTATTTTGTATGCATTGTGTTTATTTGTTTTTTTTTTGTGGCATTCCGTAGTGCAGTGCAATTAATACCGGAACCAGTCTTTCCCACCATCGTTGGTTTGTTGGTGTTCCAAATGGGGCATGTCGCCACCTGGTGACCATCCAAAAGCTTGACTGACTCGCATCAGTCGGATAGCATTCGCCCCTAGATTGGCAAGATTTCTACTAATCAAGGATGCATAGGAAATTTGAGATCGGCCAGATTCCCGCTGAACAAAAGGATGCATATAGGAACGATTAATGAATCCAACGCGTTGCAGAATAAACAGATTTCATTTCAGTCGATGTTCATCAAGCAGCAGCCCATGTTCATTTGGACGGCTTCGCTCTGGCTTTGCCCGGCACGAATTTCCCGAGACGAGTTCACTTTAAGCCACAAAACGTCCATATGATCCGTATTGGACATTTCTCGAAAGCAGAAAAAACGTCCCTGGGTAATACACAATACATACCAGCACCCTCCAACAGGTGTTTCCTGCTTGTAACAGGTGCCCCAAAATTCACCAAACAACACCTGCTAGAGGGTCCTGGTACCTAAAACATCTTACACACACACACACACACCTACACACCTGTGTCAAAGATGCCACCCGGATCTGGAACATCACGACCTGAACTGACTTCAAGACTGCGCAATGGCCGGCGCCACTGGCGTGCTACGAGGACGGTTGGACCCCAGGTACTCCGAGCGTCGGAGGCGTTCCGGGACGAAGAAAGAGGAAGCATGACTCGGGATGAGCAATGGATACATCATGATACATCATATATATATATATATATATCGACGTGTTGACCAGTTGAGGTCAGACCAGTTGAGGTTGATATAGATATGGTTCCGATTAAAGGCTTTGCACGCACGTGATATCAGTGGTGTTTTCTACGGTATCTTGGACACTCAATTCTTTAGAGGAATCTCAATAATGATGCATGTATTCAAACCTGCTGGATGTCAACTATTTAGAGATTTTTGAGATGCATGTTCCAATTCACCACATCACCTGCAGTGTTATAGAGTTACCTGAATAGATAGATCTCTAGAGCTTGGGCACCCTATTTATATATAAATATTATATTATATAACATAGAGTCTAGCGAGAGAGAGAGAGAGACAACACAAAAAATAGAGGATGAGTCCCCGACTCAATTCCAACAGGGATCTCCTTTTCGTCAAGCAAGCGACGGGAGGGGAAAAACAAACTTATTGAATGAAGTGCGAAGTTCAAGTGAATGTCGTCCAGAGGTCTTTGCGGTGAACACAGTATTTGTCCCACACATCTTCCCCACCGGATCCTCACGCAGAGGTCCTGGCGTCCCCATTAAACTCTTGGACCTCCCGTTCAACTTGCAAAGGGGATGCAACATGGTCGTTGTTTGCAAAAAATGGAGAAAAGGAACTGCTCCAGAAATCAATGGTGTACTGGACCGTTTCTTCCAAACACGTGGACATTGGACAGGGCTTGTTTGGGAAGCATTTGTTCCCTTGCATTCATGGCGGGGAGTGGATCAATGTTGACTGGTGAAATAGCCCTACTTTGCTCCCATTGTTTCCATGTTGTAAAGCCACACGCACTCTTGCTTGTTCCTGCGCTCAACACTGTTCTAGTGGCCGTGTTGAAAGGATCCGTCCACGTCGTTTGCATGGGACAAAGGCCACGTCCACCAGCTGAGTCGAGGTATCCGGATCCACCAGCTGATTGGGCACTTCTGCCCGAGTTTGTTTGTGATAATCTATGTTTGCTGTATATAGCAGTCATTACACGTTACATCACTTTACTGTAAGCTTAATTCGCTATGTTATTTTAAGGAACATGCGTAAACTAATCTGAATCTTGAAAACGTAAACACAAAGAAGAAAACACAGAAGGCACTCCAACAGCTCGTTGAATTGTTTTTGAATTGTTTCGTCCTGCCTCTGTTAGAGGCCGCTTCCCACGGTGTCTGTGGCCGTACTCGCGGCCGTATGGGCGTGCAACCTGCTGCCAAAGGCGCCCTAGAATGGCCCACAGCACTTCGGGTCAGTGGTTCGTGTGCAATTGATTGACGGGATCACCGAAAGCATTATTGAGCTTATATATATGGTCAAACAAATCTGTTAAGGTCTGGTGGTAGCGGACTTGGTTGACCTCAATATCCATATATAATTGTGACAGCACCTGGCAGTAACCACCACACCACCATTCTTAAAACGAATTTGGCAATCTCAGAGACGATCTCAGAGACGATCTCAGACGACTTCACTTTACATCCTGGAATCTATTTTGACCGAGATATTTCGATATAGTTAGACAGAAAGGTTCGATGGTTAGGTTGGAGGCGATGGCTTCTGGTAGGTTGGAGGCCATCGCTTCTAGGGTGGAGGCCATTGCTATTATGTTGTTCTTCAGGGCTTCAATCTCGCCGAGCCAGGTTTTCTCGGTGTCAGAGTCCTTGCGCTCCGTCGGGGGCCCCATGGCTCCGTTGGGAAGACTGCTTGTCGAGTTGAGCGCGCCGGCACCGGCCGCGCGGTCCACCGGAAAGAAATGATAAGCGTGATAAGGTCCACATAGGTCCACATATAGAATGAAGGTTTTTGGGATAAAAGACGAACGGCATTCAGGCATATTGTGAAACACTGGTGATTTGGTTGAATGGTAGCATGGTGATTGGACAACTTGAGGGCAAGCGGATACTCCTCCAAGCACGAAGCAAACAGATTTCCTGCTGAACCAGTGCTGTGGTGGAGTGACATTAGGCTGTAGTGGATCAACTTCCACTATGCCACCAACGGTTTCACAGTCCACGCAGGTCGAGTGATTTAGAGCTACAGACCTTGGCGATGAACAAATATTGATATAGAATAACATACTAAAATGGGATCTACTCGGAGTATGCCACTCAAGGCCAAGGGATCAGACCCACACGAGTACCCACACGACCGCAATGAGTCTTCACGTCGTCGCTGCGCCGGGAGCCCTCCAGCCAGGTGCGCGCACGCATAGCCGCTGCCGGACGGCGCGGCTCGCAGCGCGAGATGCTGCAGCGTGTGCGATGCTCGTCTCAAAGAGCCAACATGGTCAACTCGTTTTGTTTGGACAGGCACTGTCCCACCGGAGGGTTCTCTTGAATTTCGTAGAGAGCTGTAGCGACTATAGGTGGATTTGACCGGAAAACGACAAATGCGCCCTTTTGAAGAACTACTGTATGTGTCACAGCAAGGATGTTGTTGAACATTAAAGTTAAAAGCAACAAGTGGGGATAGAGTAAGAGTCTTTATTGGAAACTCTTGAGTTGTCCGAAGCTGATAATGAATCCGCCTGCAAGCAGAAACGGTTGCTGTGGCCACTTCTCACACATGAGCTCACCATGTCACCATGTAAGCTTCTTCCAGGGTCGATTTTGTCCCTCAAAGTATACGCTTTGATGCCGGTAGGAGTGGCTGATGCCGCTGGTGCCTGATTGTGCGCTCTGGCGCACCAACCAGAGCTGAGGACTCATCGCCGTCTCCAAGTTCATCCCCAGCGATCTGGTCAAAGAAGCACATGATGCTGGTCAGGCTGCTCGGACAATTCAAATGTTGAGTACTTGCCAAATCCATCCCAATCCAATATTATTGTATATAGTATGATATAATATGTTTCCATGGCAAGTCAAGGTATCGCATCATAGTCTAGACCATTTCACATATCAATCAATTCACCACTACCATATATTTTCATGGTATCACTGCTACAACTTGCAGCGAGTTCTTCCGTTCTTCGTCCAAAAAGTCCCACCGACTTCCCGTTTTCTGTCCGCTGCAACTCGACAGTCGCGACCGAAGCGGTCCATCGCTGGGTCCGCAGATCGAGGTGGACTTTGGCGAGAACTACGTGCAGGAGCTGCTGGAGAAAAGTGCTACCCTGCCCCAAACCATCAGGCCGAGCGCATGGAGACCGGGCGCACGCATCCACCGGTGGACTCTGTACAACGGATTTCTCACGGACATGGCAGGTTGCACGGGACCGTGAACGCCCCCGGTAGAACGGACCCAGTTCACGGAAGGGTGAGAGCTTCATTCTCTTGAGACAGACAGCAGGGGGTCGCCATAGCGGCAGAACGCGCCTCTTGGTATGGGAAGTCCTCCATTTTACTACCCCTCACAGTCAAGAACTTGATCAGACACTGGCCAATGAAGTCGAACCCTTGGCTGAGTTATTCTGCAGTTCCAATCGAGCATATACGTGGTCCCGACTCCCGAGAGAGGTATATGGTATATACTGGTGGGAGGTATATGGTATATACTGTTGATATATATAATATATATTATAGTTTGAACCACTTCATGAGCATTTCATTTTCTATCTACATCACTTTCGAGGATCCATTGATTGTTTTTTTTTCACTTAATCTATGCCAGTGCCGTTGTAAGACCCAAAGTTGAGCGGTCACAAAAGCGCAGCAATGAGAACCATCAGGAAGAACTTCATGGTTTTTGTATGTTTTTGTGTACAAGCGCCAGCTACGCGAGAGGTGGCACTTCATTGGTCGGCTTCAGTCCAATAAGGCACCACGGGCGATTTCCCGTCATCATCGTCCACGTGGACGATGCATGTTGCTGCAGTTGTAGATGTTTTTAGATGTTTTTAGTCCCATCAACATGAACGGTTTATGTGATTGTGCTGGATCGACAATGACATGTTTCTCAAAATTCGGAGACCTTTTCCTTTGGACCTATAACAAAAAAAGGAGCAGGTGAGCAGGAGATCACTCCTGGTTCCACAATGTCCAAACGATTGTTTCCCAATCTAAAGCATTGTATTTGCATGGATTGATAGACACATTTCTCAGTATAAAGCCATATAAAGCCGAAAAGACTTCAAGCCATTCCCGTTCTCTGACGGGTGCGCCATGGGCTCTTGTTCAAGTTGCTCAGATGGCGTGATCTCACGAGATGAAGCGAATAACTGAGTGTTTACGTAAGTCTTGGATTCCAAGATGTTCACCATCTTTATCTCAAACCAAATAGGGTGCAACTGCAAGTGGTTCAAAGCATGTTGCCTAATGTGATGGCAAAGAAGCTGAAGAGAGAAGAGAGAGAGAGAGAGACACAGAGCAAGGTTGTCCCACTACAGTAAACCCATTTGGTTTTCAACACCGCTGCATGGGACATCATGGGACTATCCAAGTAATTTCACCCCTATGATCCCCTATGTCATATTTAATCATATTATACTCTAACTCAACTCATGCTTACAGACAACAGCAAGCAGAAATCCAGGAAGCCACCTTTCCCTCCAACCAGCAGACTCCAACCGCTCTTCTCCGAAAAAGCCGTGCCTGGTTTCGCCTGTCGAGGTGAAGAAGCTGCTGGACGTGCCCAATTTGGTTTCCATCGAGACCGTCGACTCGGCTGCGTTGGCTGAGAGGACGCCACCCACCGCCTTGGTCGCGTCCGGGAGAGTCGAGGTCGTGGTGTCCGCGCTACCGTCCATGCTCTAGAAGGTGAGGAGTCAAAGAACTTTTAGACACTTAGCTGGCCTCCGTCAGGATCGCGGCAGCGGCGACCCATCGAGAGCAGGTGCTGGACTTGTCCATCCAGGCGGAGACGACTGATATAAGTAGTCAAACACGGATGAAGCACAGAGCCTTGGTTGAACATAGGTCAAGAAAGTTGGAGAAGTGTTACAGTGTGTATATATATATACAGAACATGACAGGAAAACAATGACAGACCTTTCAGGGAATTGTTGGAAGAGCTACTGTACGAACTTCAATCCAAGAGAGCCCATTGAATCCTGTCGAAACAGATTCGCAGCATTTTGTTTACTGTTCAGTACTGTTCAGATGATTTTGTTTTAAGGGTCCAGCCAGAGTAGGAGGCAGCAGACACGTACGGATGGTATTTGGAGCGATAGTGTATTTGTGTGGAACTGTGCAAGGTGGGAGTGACTTTGAAGAGGGAAACCAAGCCATCTTGCCGAGGGCCAAGGGTGTGGGTCAAATTACACTCAGGCATTGCAGAATTGTTTGCAAACCAAAACAGCAGTATGCATCATCACGTGGTTGATGTTCAAGATCCTCAACACTTGGGTACGACAACTGTGAAAACCCCCATCTTGAAATTTGTCTATTTGGAAGGTGGTGCAGGAGAGTAGAGGAGAGGCGCTAGGCGCTAGGCACACCATGCCACCGACCCATTCTCTGTGCCAACAGCATCCTGGCAAGGTGGATACCAGCAATGAAGCTACCAAAGGCAAGTGGGTAAAAGTTTGCAAGGTAGCATGGAGGAACTCAAGCTCAATGAGCATTTCAGCTGGACACTGGGCCAGCCAGTTGTGGAATCCTCCGGAATGGGACACGGCTTTGATCTGGGGCTTCAGACTTGTGGCATTCAACACAAAGAAACTGTAAAACTACAGCAAATACATGCAAATACCCTTTACAGACTGCAGACAGGAGCTTATTGGTGTTTTGAAGTGTGCATTGTTGACCAGAAATCTGGCAATTCCTTGCATGAATGGACCGAAGGACCGACTGCAGTACCGACTGGCATTGAGTTAGGATTTCTATGAATTAGTGGTTCTCCCAATTGGCACACCAAGTGTCCTTTTACAATAGCAGACCCATGTTCGGCGTTTCACGAACACCATCGAACCGACCTTGCTTACAGTGTTGAGTATCTCATCACATCTCACCTACAAACGTTGACCAATCAAAAGCAGTCGCTCATTGTTTGTATATGTTTGTTTCAGTTTGTTTCTAGAGATTCGACGCTTAGTCCAAGAGACTCTTGAGCACCCCCTGCACTCCTCAAATCCCGGTTGACCCTTTGGTGCTGGGGACGCTTCAGAGATCCCCCTGCAGCCCCTTAATCTACCAATTTGCAGATTCCGTGGAAGGCCTTACCAAACCAATCACACTTACGCCACACAGCAACCTCAGCTATATAGGTCATTTGGACCCATTCAGACAGGTTGTGCCTTCAGGCGGCGTCTCCCCCGATGCTGCCCTGCCACTGGCAGAGCACGTGGCCGCGCTGTCACCGCACGTGCGCTTGGCCAGAGGTCTCAGGTACCGAGGCGTCTCGCGTGGTCTCGGAGTGGATGATGTGGATGGGCTGAGAGCGTGACCCTTTTGACAGGATGGACGGGGCCAGTCAGTGGCCGAAATGGTTTTCTGGTCCACTCCATGGCCTGCTCAAAAGGGTCCACTCAATGTTCCAAGAGAGGTCAGCATTTGAGTGACAACACTTCCTCTCTACGGATCAGCGTTGGGCAAGAGGGCTTCTACACTCCAGTGTTCTTTGCTGGTTTGGGGGGGCCGTGGCAGTCCATGTCCAATTCAAAGGAATCTTCAATGGTTTTATACTTTGATCCCTTTTATGGTTGATCCTCCCAGCCTCAGCCCCAGATCTTTCTCTAGGCAGATGTTTGGATCGCCATGACCCCTAATTCTCGCGTGCCCATCTGCTTTCCTGACTCATTTGCCTGGCGAAGATGGCCAGAAGCTGCACCAGTGCCGTGGCACCGCCGTGCCTTCCGAACGCCGCTCCGAATCCGAGGCCGGGCTCATGACCATCGGAGCGCCGGGCGACCTGAGCGCCTTTGAGCGGCTCCACCAGCTGCGGCACCGGATCGCCCAGCAGCTCCAGGCGCATCGCTGTCAAACCAAAAGGTGCAACAAAACGACGCTAATTTGTCACGAAAAAATTCGTCATTTGATCACATCAGGGTGCAGAAGGAAGTACGAATTGTTGGCCTGAAGACCACATGTGCAACGCGCAAGATGAGGTGTGCAGATCTGTTTGTGGCGTTTGCTGTGAAAATTGCAAGGATTGCGTTGAAACTTATGTTTGTTTACTTGTTTCAGACACCACCTAGGTCATTTATGTACTTGAGGGCTAGGTCAGGTCTCATGTACTTGGGCCAGGATAGATGCATTTGGGCTTTGCAGGGGATAACTTGTGAGGTTTGTACTTGAGTTCAGTTGAGATTACTTGCGAGGATTGATGAAGCTTTTGAGCTTTGCTCGAGAGGTTTGTACCTGAGGACTAATGTACTTGAGACTACTATTGGGTTTGTACTTGAGCTTTACTTTGGATTACCTGTGGGGATCATACCTGACCTGTACCTGAGATTAACTGTGAGGATGTGCGGGAGCTTTACTTGTGGATGCACTTGTTCATTAGACTTGGATCAGCTTATTGATGTTTGTTCATGCAAAATTCAATTGTGGATGAGTTGTGTTATTGCAGATTGATGCAGATTTCAACTTCATCACAACCTGACCACAGTTTGTGCAAAGTTTCATCACAACTTCCCCAGTTTGGAAGTGTTCAATCCTCCTGCCAAAACATCATCAAAAAGCACGGGAGTTTGACCAATTGACAAGCAAGTCCTCAAAGTGAGGCGGCAGCAGCTGGGTGTGAAACTTGTGGAGATGTTCTTGCGTTGTACTTGAGATAACACGTGAAGACTGATGTCCTTGAGATTTAATTACTTAGGATTACTCATGAACTTGCACAACCTTGCACATTCACTTGAGGTTACTTGTGGATTTGCAGCACCTTTTGTCCTCACTTGTTCTTGAGAAGTCCCTAGTAGTTGTTTATCAGCATTCATTGGGTGGAGATTGTTGTTCAACGCAATTCGGATCTTGATAGTAGTTTTGTTGTCCTTCAAAACCAAGCAAGCAAGGGTGCCATCTTGGGAGCAGCTTGTTGAGGAAAGTGAGAACAATTGTGCAAGCCAAATCTCAAGCACCTGTTTCGTCACAGGCACACATGCTCAATTGTGCGCCACAGGTACACTCTTCACAGCAGGATCCTCACAAGTCTATTCAAGCATGCGCAAGAAGGCCTCACAAGCAGACAGCACAAGCAAAGATTTGTGACCCGCTGTCAAGATAGAGATAGACCTATTTCAACAGAACAACACCACTGGTTTTGTTTTATTACAAATCGGAACGCACTGTTGGTTGCAATTAAAACTATGAGGATTTACAAACAGCAAAGATTGTCTAAAATACAGCTACAAATTAGATATTTGCACAATTTATACATCAACAAGTTGATAGTACAATGTAATACTTGAGTTGTTAAATTAGGTAGCACCTAAATGAACTTACATAATGTTTCAAGCTTAGTTTGTTCAACCTTATCTGAACAATTTGCATATTCTTTCACGCGTTAAGCTGGGTCTTTACTTAGGGTAAGGTAGATCAAACAACACGCGGGTCGGAAAATCTTAAGAATCATGTGGACAAATAGAGTGCACGATCGTCTAGGACTCGAATGTAGAAAGTGGTGCATACTGTTTGTTGGGCTGTGTTGGTCAAGGTGTCTTTGGACAGGCGTAGCCACAGACATGGCTGTTGGTCCAACACACTCTGACACTTGTATTCCGTTAATGCAAGTTCACGGTGGGAAGGAAGGTGATGGAACGGTAAGGCGAAAGAGTCCGCTGAGAAGTATTGTTGAACATTGTTCACTCAAAACGGTTGCGAGACGATCAAGATGGCGGCGCAGCTGCTGGGGAAGAAGAAAGGTTTGCGGGAAGGTATCATGCGAAACCACCATGAGTCAAAAAGCGGAAAAGGAGGGTAACAGCTTGTGAAGCACTTTGCAGGTACGTTCTCAAGGCGTCCCTCGAGAATATCCTGACGAATGGCTGGAGCTTCGTTGGATCAGGCCAAGCCAAACGTCCCTGATCCCCCTGCTTGCGAAGGTGGTGGTGGAAAACCCTTTGTCCAGGGGTGGACACACACACACACACGCACACACCAGTGGTTCGTAAGGACGTTTTATCAGGTCCTCATCACAAAATGAAGCTCGGATGGGTGGAGGTAAAGTCTCAAGACACACAAAAAAAGGTCACGGAACCGCAGCATATTACCCCCCAACCGTAAGTGTCGAAGTCAATGAAGAACAGGCAAAAGGATGTGATGAAGAAGATGATCATGTTGCGGTGATGACAATGTAGATGCGGAGTAGATGCAAGTGCAGAAAAGGTCAAAAGCCAAAGGCGTCGTGAGAGGTGGGGTGGGGCAAAACACACATATATAGTTGATGTATATATGTATTTTCATTGTAAAGGATAGAATCGCAAAAACAATGTAAATAGTATACATGTGCTGTGTTGGCTCACATCGGACTGGCAGTAGGTTTAAAAAGCAACATCAGTGGCAGCCCCTTGTAAAGTTGAAGGGAATTGGGTTACGGAGGTTTAAGGGTTTAAGTTTCACCGGCATATTGGATAATGATCTAGCTGTTCAGTAGTTTGCCAAGGTGCTACAAACCAGGTTTCAAGGAATCACTCGTTGGCGGCACCTAATACAAGGACAAACCTCCTCATAGAGATTTGTTTTCGTGTTCAAGTTGGATTCTTCTGCAACGTTAGAAAATTCAGCCCAAAGGATTTTCCGCAGTAGCTACACAGATTTGCTTGCGACGTAGAGTTTCAATGGACGTAGAGTGGATGGTTCAAAAAGCCTCCCCGTTTGTTCGAACGAGAAGAACGCGCAGGTCGTGGAAGAAGAGCTGCAGCTAAGCATGGGCATGTCCGGCGACTTCGAGGAGGCGGTGAGAGTGAGATGGACGGTGATTCCGCGGCGTGTGTGACTCCACACGAAGCCGAGTCAGGTGCCCCCCTAAGAGTTTCAACCAAAAGCGGGCATCGGATGTTCTTTGGAGTTGCCAGGTGAAGCATGATCCAACAGCCCCCACCAAAGGTGTCGTTAGTGGAAGCAACTGGTTGCCTTGCACCGGACTTGAGGCACCGGTCGCCGGTCGCCGTCAGGGGGGTGCGAAGTACCGGAGAATCCGCCAAATCCGCCGAATCCGATCCGAATCCGTATGAAATAGGAGAGAAGGTCGAAGCCAAGTGAAACATGTGATTACTTACTTAGCTTTGAGACAATTCTTGGAGTTTGGTCATGTCATGTCATGTCCAATGCACACTGTTCCTGGTGTTTGGGATTGTCGTGCGTATTCTTTCCACTGGATTTACCTGTGCTGCACATGCCAAAATGGCCATGAACCAAATGAGAACTGTGATGTTCCCGGGGTGGTCAACAACATGTAATTACCTTGTGTTTGACAAACATAGACCCACCTCCTCCAGTCCATCACATGTCGGGACGGGACTCCTCTTTCATGAGTGCTTGAGCACTGCGAGCTGTTTCTGGTGCCCAACATGGAAGTTGTTGCTCTTTCTGGTGCGACCATTGCCAAGCTTGATGAGGATGCGTTGCATGGCATGGTGGAACAAGGATACACCATCAGAGACTTGAAGCGATTCCTTGCAAATCGAATTGGATATTCTAGGTTTCGGCAAAGACTCTTCAACGGAGAAACCAAAGAGCTGGCAGATGACATGTTTTTGACGCCCCTGCCATGTGTGCAGTTGGTACTCCTGGACTTTGGTGCTTCTGATACCACCAAGGAACTATTGAAAAACTGTAGACAGAATCGCGTGCACGAAGTTGAAAAGTTGCTTCAATGGTCACAGGATCCAAATCAGAGATGTCCTGTTGGTGACCTGAGCCTGGTACCAATTCATGTGGCTGCCCTCGCAGGCCATATGGAAGTTGCACAGCTGTTGCTGGAAGCTGGAGCTGACAAAGATGCTGCATCAAATAGTGGGAAAACGGCTTTGTACTTTGCAGCAGGGGAAGGCCACATGGAACTTGTACAGCTGTTTCTGGAAGCCGGAGCTGACAAAGATGCTGCAGCAGATACTGGGGCCACGGCTTTGATAATTGCTGCAGCGAATGACCACTTGGAAGTGGTGCATGTACTGCTGGAAGCTGGAGCTGACACAGAGGCCGCATTTGGAACTGGGAAAACGGCTTTGGTTATTGCAGCAGAGCAAGGCCACTTGGAAGTTGTACAGCTGTTGCTGCAAGCTAGAGCTGACAAAGAGGCAGCACCAGATAGTGGGGCCACCGCTTTGTTTATGGCGGCAGCGAAAGGCTACTTTGAAGTTGTGCGTGTACTGCTGGAAGCTGGAGCTGACAAAGAT